CCCCAAAACCCCAAAACCCCAAAACCCCAAAATACTTTAGTTTTATTGGAATAGGAAAGAATTTTAATGGAGAAATATGATGGTGGGAGGGAAATCATTACAAAGTAATAGTTTTAGTAATATACTAGATAGGTTTAGCCACTGAGCAACTGTTTTTCAATACTATCGGGCTTTTTAGGATGTGAAGAGGATCTTGATGTATCTCTGAAACGATTCCTGAGAGATGTTCAAGACATATACTCAAGAATTTCGGTTCATTTTAATAACTCAAAGGCAAATTATGAGGAACTCTTGAAAGTTTGGTCTTAAAACTGCCAAATTTCTCTTAGAAAATGGTAGATATCAGAAATTTAATCTAGACATTACTCTGGGGTCTTCTAAGGAGATAAAATACTTTCTAAAATTTCTTGAGAAAGTTCAGAGTCCAGCAAATGTAGTTTTTAGAAGAATAATGTTGAAGGTCTCAGCTCCAGAATTCAGTTCAGAGTTATACAACTCAGTGTATTTTCTGATGACTGAGAAAGGCATTGACACCCGTCAAATCGAATTCGATTTTGGGCCTCTCTCCCTAGATTTGGGTAAATGGGATTCTGACTTGAAGCTGGAGTTTACGAAGAATCTGAACAAACCTTGGACTTTATGCATGTTGCAAAAATTTAGAAGGGTTGGCTGAGTCGAATGTCAGCCAGGTAAGGAGTTGGAAACTTGTTAAAGTCTGGCGTGGAGGTTAGTGAGCTGGTATTGCTCATGACTGTTCAAGTAGGTGAGGGAACTGTTATATTTGATATTGATCAGGTTAGTGTAATTGAGTATGATTCTTATGATTGTGACGAAGAAGAGCCTAAAGAAAATATTCAGAAATCATTGAACTCAGTTAATAAATTAACCATCAAACCTGAGATTACAGTTCCTGAAGACGCGTTTAAGTATTTTCTCTGGATCTCTCTAATTCATCTATAGAGATCTTGATACATACACTATCAATGACTTGCTTCCAATATTTCCATATCTTAATACAATTGAGTATCATCTTCCTCCAACAATTCCTTTAAATATCCTGACATCCCCATTGTTTCAAACTCAGACATCTTTCTTCACAGTTGAAAGTCATCCAAGTGAAAACTATATTGTGTTGAGAAATCCAAAGTTTTACTATTTTTCACCTGAATGCGACTATTTTAATTTCACCTGCAACCTGTTTTTGCAAATCAAGCAGGAAATTGTAGAAGAAGCAGGCGTTTATAGGCGGTTGAGGAAGCCTTTTCAACAGTTATTTGTAGCAAACCTGGGGGACTCAGATATCATGAGTAAGTCAATAGGTTACAAAATTTAGAATTGACTCACTTGGAAGCGAGAGATTCGAAAACATTAGCTCTATTGGAAACCTTGATTGTGCTGATTTTAAACTTGCTAGAGGAAGATACCTGAGCAGATACAAGAAGACTAAATAAATGGGCCCAGAGAAGCCTCTTCTTCCAAGAGAATTGATTCGAAAAGATCAGCGGAATCGACTGACTTTATAGATACTGACCCCAATACTGTTCCCAAATTGAGCTTCACATTGGTAAAAGCGAGCACTTAAATGATGAAATTAGAAAAATGAGTGTTCTTACACAAGTCAAAGGAATCGAAAAGCTTACTGTTGAGCTAAGTATCTCTCAAAAGAATTGGAAAACAATTCTCGAAGTCTTCAAGTATGAAATAGCACATCTGATAATAGTATCAACAAAGCTAGATATCAAATAAAACTGCTATTGGGCTTCGGAAAGCCCTGACGGAGAGTGTGCTGGGTCTTACCTTTCTCAACCGGTTAAAGATTCAGTTCGTTGAAGATGGAGACTCTTATGTATATCAAAGAAGTAAGTTCCAATCGATAATGTTAGATACTTACTTATTGTATCAGCGGACATATATTTTGATAGGCTGAATTATCTCTGTAGTCTGAGTAACTAATTTTCAGACATGTTGATGCTAATTAATATTGAGAAGAGAGCATTTAAATACCTCCATATATGATTTTAACATCTGGCATTTCATCTCAATAGCGAATGGATCTAATAAGAGATACATATCAAAAGCATAACTTATCTTCATGCTTAAAATATCTAGTTATGTCATGCATTTAGATAGATATGTCCCTGCAAACTCTCAAGATAAATTATCTTTAGAAATTTTATATAGAAAGAACATTTATTAGAGAAAACTAGATTTAGATTTGGAGCTCTTTTGAATAAGAATCAAAACAAAAATTCGCACAGCTTTTGAACTTGCACTTGGGATGCTGGTCAAGAAAGTCTGTCCTATTGATAATAAAAGAATTCAGCATCTCAGTAGAGAATTTTCTTGAGTAAATTGTTGTAACAGATTTGACAATATTAGTCAGCTGCTTGAAACAAGCTCTTGTATTATACTAAAGCTTGAGAATTATAAATTTAGACCAATTTGTTAACAAATGTATCTAAAATCAGTTCAGAAACAACATCAAAGAACCCATGAGAATGTTCAAAAGCAAAGCTTGACCAGATAAATAAGCTAGCTTTAGCAAAACTTCTGAAGAAAACATTACTGATTTGTAACTTCGCCAAGATTGGAGAAAGCTTTTGGAAATATCTGGATGTAGTTGACCAGTAAGAACTCAAATTACTAAGGTAGGAAATTAGGATTTAATAGGGTTATGTTGAAAATATAGGATTTAAAGGGTTAACACAAATTAGAAGTCAAGAAATATGTCATTATATTTCAGCTTTAAGTTCAAGATAATTTATTGATCCAGGGGTTTTGGGGTTTTGGGGTTTTGGGG